GGGAGAATTATATCCACTGTATTCATAGGACAGTGAACAGAAATGCCCTTTAGCACAGTGTGTATTCTTTGGTAAAGGAAACTTTTCCTTTGGAGGAAAAAGTAGCAAGCACAGTGTCATCTATAGGCTCCCAGAAAACCCCAGAATATTGCTGTGTTCCTTCCCCCATATCCATTCTTAAGACACTGCGCTGACATTTTTATCTCACGGCTGAAGTTAAATTGTGTAAATCCCAAGAACAATTTGCTGTTAATTGCAAGTCTGCCTGTAGTGATGATATAAATTTGTTGGAGCAGTTTGTGCTATGTGGTAGTACAGAAAACTGATTGTGTTTGAATTAGGGGGCATCAAATCTGTGAACAGAGAGAGCGTACAGTTGCATAACCCATACTCTGAGACATAGCTGGTTCACACATTCACTTTCATCATTGATTTCTCATCATTTTAGAGAACGTACGACCATGCTTGCTTCAAGAATTTCACTTGATTTGGTTTACTTTAGCTGCCTATAGTTAGCAGGCGACAGATGAGAAGTCCCAATGCATTGCTTCCTTGAAGTCTGCCATCGTGGTTCAAAGTGCCAGTTACCACGTCAGATAACATTAGAAGAAGCTGTGCCAGTATTTATTTATCTACCAAGGATGAGGTTACATATGAAAGCAACAGGGTAGTTGTGGAATTCTTCTAGCAAACGTTTAGAGAACAGATCTGTGCTCCAAATATAACTTCCATTCTCTCCTGGCTTTGTTCTAAAAAAGGGCATGCCACAAGGATGCTAAATATCCAGAAGTGAGGGCTGTGTTAAAGGAGACTCTAAATGCCACCCAACCAATTCCCTCTTGCTGGCAGCAGTTATTTCCACGAAAAGCTGCAGTTTAGACTAATGTTTACTACACAAATACCTGGAATCCTATTCCTGGCTACCTAAATTATGTACACAATTATAGATCATTGTATACAAATTGACCTTTTTCTCTTCCATGTCAACTGTTTTATGTTTGTCTAAGCAGCCACTAGTGTGCTGAGGTCTAGTTTTGCCCTTTACTGTGTTTTAAGTAAATATTAACATCAGGCTGCGTGACAAACGAAAAAGCCCATCTCATCTTAGTAGTTTTCTGTTATGTGTCATCAGATGCCCTTCTAATGTTCACTGTGTATACTAAGAAGGTTTAAAATATTTGTCTTGGTTTTCGTGGTGGGGAATAGATTTTTTTTTTACCGCTTTTATTATAATGCCGTGAAATCAAGCCCTGCAATATTCTGCTATACGCAAGCCCTGTCTCATATCATTTCTGTATGGCTTAATGTGTTGTGTTAATACTTATACTATGCTGCAGGTTCTTCCTGGTGGTCCCAGACTTCTCAAATCCTAAAACATTGGTTATTGAATGTCCCATTTTTGTTGATTGTACTGACTCACTTTGTGTAATCTGTCTTGAATTCAGTGTTCCCTCTAAGATGAGTGAGTGTGAGCTAGCTCACCATTTTTTAGCCTCCAGCTCACAGATTATTGTCTCAGCTCAGAGCAAACTGATTTATGCACTAGCTGAATCGCTCGCTCACAACTTTAATGCCAGCGGCTCACAAAGTAGAATTTTTGCTCATAAGACTCTGCAGCTTAGAGGGATTTCTGCTCACAACACTGTGGAGCTTAGAGGGAACATTGCTTGAGTTCCTGTGAGAAAGGTGGACAATAAAGAAAGAAAGAAATAGAGTTATGAAGGACGGTGAGCATGATACAGCTAAAGGAGGTGATCTTACCCGATTCCCCCCTTGTTGCTGCGGCTCCCTGTTCTTTGGTGTATTTTGCTTGTGAGGCTCCCCAGATCCTCAGAGAGGCATTTTGGGACAAAACAGGGGAGGGCAGGGAAAGCTCCCCTGCCACCTCGTCCCGTGAGCACTTCCACTGGATTCAGCCTAAGCACTGGTAGCCAGCCAAGATCTATGCTGGCTGCCGACTCTACATTCCTACCTGTCACATTTAGGAGGAGTGCGCGGACTTTTCCCTGACCCCGTGGCAGCTCAGAAGTGCTCAGAAAGCAGCGGGACTTTCTGCTACTTACCCGGCTATCTGTGACATCAGGGAGATCTCCCTTCTCCTGAAGCTGGAGGGAGAGGAGGGGTTCCCGGCTGTGTTCCCTCTAAGCTGAGTTGGTGTGAGCTAGCTCACAGTTTTTTAGCCTCCAGCTCACAGATTTTTGGCATAGCTCAGGGAGGAGGGCTCCAGAGCAAACTAACTGATGCAGTAGCCAAATCACTTGCTCACAACTTTAATGCCAGTAGCTCACAAAGTAGAATCTTTGCTCACAAGACTCCATAGCTTAGAGGGAACATTGGACTTCCCAGTGACCTCAGTAGGAACTTGTATTGCCAGATTAAAAGATGCATTTGCAGGGGGTGACTAGACCAAGGTCGCTTGTGGACCTCTAGTGTACCAGAACATTTTTCTACAGAGGAAGGATGTCTGTTTTTTTGGAAAGAATCAGTTCTGTGGAGGAAAATGGTTGAAGTGGGCCTGAAAAATTCATATTTTTATATTGCATGCTATATTGAGTGTTGACTTCTCCTGTGCTGTATGATCAGTGTTTATGATCTTATGGCATTTGCGTGCAATGGGGCTTTGTATTTGTAAAACATTCTCCTTTGAATATTATTAGAGAAGATTTAGAATGAATAACGAAAAACGGTGCATTTTTCATGTTCTTTTCCTTCTCTTTCTAGGTGTGGTCACTGTAAAAACCTGGCTTCCACTTGGGAGAACCTCTCAAAGAAGACTTTTCCAAGCCGAATGGATGTCAAGATAGCAGAAGTAGACTGCACTGCTGAACGCAATGTCTGTAACAGATATTCTGTAAGTGTGCATACTAAATGTTGAAGTTGCTGGTACATTGCCTTTACTGTAGGGTGCTTTGGAAGGCAACTGTAGGCTCTCTCTCAGAGGAGAGGGTGAACAGAAGTTTATTATGATTACATATGAGAAATCCATGGGCTTCTGTACATGTGTCAAACATACCAGTCCCCCCTCTGGCTATTAATTAATTTGGGGAGTGGTTTGCTGGCTGCATTCAGGAGGTTATGTAGGACTTTCTGCTTCACCCTCTGGATTGTAGCCATAGCCTTGAATTCCCACCACGCCTTCCTGGAAACTGAACGACATCTTGACCATCTTTCCTGCAAGGTATAGGTAAATGACTGACATGTTGTGCAGCAAGGTGATTGTGGCAGTGGTAGTGACTGAACAGAGCTCAGATGTTGCTCTTGAAAGCTGAGATTCATCCGTACAAGTACTATGCAGTACAGGGGCTGAGTACGGTGATTTTTCAGGTGATGCATGTGTACCAGAAAAATAGTGTTGCCTGAGGTGGCTGTTGTTGCTTTCTAATGCTCTTTACATTTTGCTTTCCTCATGAAGGTGCGTGGCTACCCGACGCTGATGCTTTTCCGTGGTGGGGAGAAAGTGAGCGAACACACCGGAGCAAGAGATCTTGAAACACTGCATAACTTTGTTTTGCGGCAGGCAAGGGACGAACTGTAAAATGTACCTGTTTGGATACCACTGCCCTTGGCTGTGTCTGCCCAGTAAACATGGGAGTTGAATCATGATAATGTTACCCGTTTTCCAGTAGTGGTTATTGGGAAACTGAATGTACTAAAGCGTGGTATCTTCTGAGCATGCGTGTGTGTTTCCTACAGCCCTGCTACGCTGGCTCTGGGGGAGGCGTGTAACAAGTAGCCACTTGTTCAGATTGAGAATATTTTCAGTATCGGTTTGCATTAATGAACTTCCTGTGTCGAAAAAGTAAATTGTCTCTTTGAGACAAAAATAAGCGAGGAAAGGTTAAAATGAAAGGTGGTGGATTATTTTCATTTGTGGGTGAATCATGTTTGAAGACTTGCATTCATGCGGCTCTCAAAATTGCACGCCGTAACTTTGATTGTACTGGTAAATTGCTACCCTTTAATGCGTCTCATTCAGCTGCACACTCAGAAGCAGGTTAAAAAGGAAGTTAAAAAAGGAAACGCACACGCACACTTTAGGAAGATATTCCTGTCCCGTGTGGGCTGCTTGATTCCTGCTCTTGATTTCTCCCATCAGGAGAGACTGGCAAGGAAGCATAATGGTACTCAATTGTGTCCTTGGTTATCACTGAATGATGCCATGGGTTAGGTAGTTTTCATCGGTTCAAAAGCTGTCAGTCCCTTTTAGTCTGCAAAAACAGTTTGGCTCCCTTCATGCATAATCGGCATTCTTTTAGCGGATCGGATAACAATGCCAAGATCTGATTTTATTTTATTTTTAAAAAAATCCCTGCTTGGAATCATTAGCAGAATGAAGAGGTTTTTAGAGGTACATCAGAGTCTGTGGCTTTATTATTCTCTGTTGAGCAAAATTAAGAGCTGCTGACAAGTCATCTTCTCTTGTCTTAAATATTATTGCCAGGTACTGTAAGCACTGGAATCAAACCTCTCTGCAGAATCTTTCCACTTTTCATTTAGAGCACATTCTCACACCTTCCTTATGTCTGAGTTTAGGATGCTTTCCATACAAGGGATGGGCTGGTGTGGCTGCTGAAAAAACGCAGTAGCCATACGGCAGGTTTCCCTGCTCCAGCCCGGGCCACCACCCCTTCCCCTGGACTACCACTTTTGCAGATTTTTTTAAAAATCAGCACTAGAATATTGTCATTTTGATATTACATTATACCAATGTGTGTACCACCATTTTCTTTTAAAGTAAGCCTGTAGCCCCTTTCATTGCAGAGATGCTTTTATACTTAGGTCTCTGCAATAGAAGATACTTGAGACTTTTCTCTTTCAGTGAAAGCTGGGAATTCAGAGAACCTGGTACACATATTGGTATAACGTTATATTGATAGAATTATATTCTAGTGCTGATTTTTTAAAAACAAAATTAAAAGCTAGCAGGGGGAGGACATGGCTGCTGCAGAGGCAGGGTGTGGGGGAATGGCTGCCACGTGAGTGGGAAACTGAAATTCCTCACCTACACAGTAGCCATCCAGGCTTTACTGCAGTCTTTCCCAAAACTTTGGAGCAAATCAGATTCAAGAAAGATCGGAGAAAAGCCGGGGGGACCCCAGGAGGTGCACAAAAGCATCACGATGCTGTAGGAAAGCAGGGGGAAAAACCCACTTCCCAAAACCATTGCATTTGGGGCAGATAACTTGTGCAGAAATGGCCTAGTGGGGCATAATGAAAGTATTCCATGTGAGAGTTAGAATCAAAGCCAAAGAATCTCAAGTGCAGGTTGTTTCATGAACATACATTGTCATTTTGGGAAGGAGCTGCCGTTTGTTCACATACAGATACTTATGTGTAGAAAGATGCTATTACCATGTGTCTGATATCAGTTTCACTAGCCATGTCTATATTTTACTGTTTGTACTGTAGTGCATTCTGTCTATAAGAGGCCCAGGTCCCGCACAGCATTTTTTAAAAAGAGTGAAAGCTGGACATACGGCAGATTCATCAGATCACCATGTAGATTTCTGCCTTAAACGGAGCCTTTATTCATGACGGCTTTTTAAAAAAAACCTCCTAACGAAGCACAACCTCGTGAGCGCGCTGAGCTGTGACCCACGAGTTTCTTGTACAAAATCAAGTGGTACAATTGTTTACACACATACTTTCTGAATAAAATCTTTTTTTTACAAAAAAAATCCCCTTTGTTTTGCTAAATGATAAAATTAATATATTTGACAGTTGCAATAAATTATAGCTTTTCATTTATTTACAATACGTCTTTTTATAAATGCAAGTAGTCAAAGGGGGGAGGGGGGGAGTGCACTTTTCTTGTCATTTATGCCTGGGGGAAATTTTCCCTGGTGTGGAACCAGGTCTAAGGCAATATATTATGTACATTAAACCATTCATTATGGCTCAAAGGGATAGGGAGGCATTACCAGAAAGTATGAACCCATGCAAGAAGACTGGTGAGTCCATTCCTCACCTCTACCTGGTCAGAATCTGTCTGTGTTTTCAGGTGGGCTGGTAGGCTTGAGTGTTCAATCAACCTACCAGCAGTTGGAAGGCTTACCTGCTCTGTTCCCCCAGCTTTGCCTCCTTCTTTCTGTGTTGCTAGATTGTTCAGGTGAGCAATGAACAGCAACCTTTTGATACAGTCTTTTAACACTTGGGATGATCCATTTCTGTCTCTCATCTCAGGGATGTTACAGAGACAAAGTTTATGTTTTGAAGATCCTCACTTTTAACCCTTGTCTGGAGCCACATCCATTAGGCAACGACAGGAATTTACGCAGTTGTCCACTTTACAGTTGGGTAGTTCGACATATGTTTTTGCTGTTCACTCGAGGCATGGGAGTGTATGTGTGTTTGTACACATACACAGAGAGAGAGCAGTTACGGTAGCAGAATTTACCCAAAAAGTCATCAGAAGTAGCAACTGAGTAATACAAAAGCTGCCTTACGAAAAAAGTGTACAAACAGCTTCTTGCTGTCCAGTGACTGCTGGGAAGGCAGAAGGTGTGGATGAGTAATCATTTGCTTGATAATCAGGCACTAAAGGTGCATTTCCAGTTACATTGTTCTTGGGGGGGGGGGGGGTTGTAGGAATCCGGCAAAGGGTGAGCTTCCTATTAACAGGTTTGTTCATTTTTTCCTTGAGCTTCTAGGAGGAAATCCAAGCGCAGCAGTTTGCCCAATGCAAGTGGTCTGATTTGCATACCTTTACAGTTATGTTTGGAATAGCTTAGTTTGGTTATACATGTCAGAGCTCTGCTTCTTTCCCCCCATGAATTGTACATTTCTTGTCCCTGTGGCATGGAACTCCTCACTGTGGCATCAACTAGAATTTGATGAGCGCTTGCTTAGTGCAACTGAACTGAAGATCAAAGCCGGCAGGTGTGTATCTGTACCTTTTTGCTGCATACTGTAAGCCATACTTTACCGTTTACGCTAGGTGTACTTTTTCGTTGTGAAACCAAAAGAGCTACCGTTGTGCAATCACTTCAGAAGTGAGCATGTAGTGCTGGAGTTCCTTAGGGTTTTGCTCCTTGCTCCTTAAGGCACAATACTTGTCTAGAAGTGTTTGGTTTTCTCTTTGAGGCACTGGATGAAAGTCACTAAGTACAGCATACTGAGTCAGTCAGTCTTCTCAGTGACACCCACATGCTCTTACCACCATATTCCTGTACTTTTTCAAAATGACATTGGAATTGTCATCAAAGTAAAGAACTGATATCGCGTGAAGTTTTGTTGGAGCACAGCATGGTTTAGGAACGTACTTCGGATTCATAAGATGAACCTGTTTAAGGAAAGAAAAATCGCCAGTTTCATTTGTAGTTTCAGCCTATTTTTTAAAAAAATCTATGCCATTTTATCTTCACAGCTACCCTGTGAGGTGCAGGTTAGTTATTTTCCTGCCTTAGTCCACATTACCTCCTTTTTCACGGTGGATATATAAAAATATATACATATATTATACACTATGATATATAAAAATTTTAAATTTTACACTGAAAGGGAGAAAGAGAAACTGTTCCCTGTCCCTAGAATTACTGATGATCTGACAGCAGTGCGTGTTCTGAAAAACAAAGGCTTTTATATTATGTCAAGGATCCCTTGAACATTCCGTCTCCTAGGAGAACTAGAGGTGGTGCTGGAGTCAGATGTGAGGGTCCTAGATTCATATTCTCCATTTAGGCAAGATTTCCTACCTAAAAGGGTTGCTGTGAAGCCAAACAGCTGTTCTCAGCTCCATAGAGGAAAAGTGGGATACAAAATTAAAATTCCCGAATTTACGTACATCTCTTGTCTTAGGCTGATATTTTTCTCTTACTGCCCCATCTCAGTTCTCTGCTCCTTACTGCTTGGATGACAACTGCTTACACTCATGGGCCAGAATTATAATCCTGAGTATATGCTGCAAATACTTTTTCTTGGCCACCCTAACATACCCAATGCACATGTGGGGAAATCATTCCTCTTCCATCAATCTCATGCTTCTAATGTACGAAAGAGAGAGAGATGAAGTGGAGCTTCTTCCTCTGCCTCTCCCCAAACATTACCAACTCTACTTTGTAGAGCGGTGGCAGTGAACTATATAATTACTGTTGTGGGCTAGACTTAAATTTTATACTTACCAGCGTTTGTACAATGGCATGATTGGTGGCATTCATGTGAGCATTAAGTGGGAAGGAACATTCTCCATCACAGTAGTTTGCTGCATAGCCCTTTGGTGCAATTATCCAGTCCTTAATTGCAAAAACATATATATTATATATACACCTCATATAATTAATACTGGGTGGTTTTCTTAATTGATGTGCAGACTTTCAGCAGTAAACTATCAGAATTCTCTGTGTCAAATTATACACTATAATTATATTATGAAGGTCTGATTCTTTCCTTATACCTGAAACAACTATCGCCTGCCTGCCAGATTTTCTGGACATTGATACAGTGTAAGAGGGAAGCACAAAATGTACTGATAATTCCTTATACAGCCACTAACGCCCTCATTAGTTTCAGCAAGTCTTGGCTGCTGCAGGTATGGAATATTAAAGGTATGATTTAGTGTCCCATTGAATCCCCTCCCATGTGCGTGCAAAATTTCCATCTGCCAACCCCCCCCCCCCTGTCTGCTTCTCTTCCATGTGCAAACAGCTGTATTTGCTCAACAGCACACACAGGATACAGTCTGGATCATGCCCATGAATACTTCACTAAAGTTGGCCATTATGATAGTTTGTTACAGGCTGACCTGTGATGGATTCAACACTTGCTTAGATCATGATATGACATGCCAGGGTCTGACCCACTTTTCAAACATGTTGCAAAGTTTGAGTTGCCATCTAGAGTCGTGGCAAACCATTCACAGTTTTTGTACAAATCCACTGAAAGTCTTTCAAAGCACAATGAATTAAAATCATTTCACAGCCATTCAAATCCAGCAACGTGAGAACTGTGCAGAGGTTAAATGCTGTGAATAGGAGCCAAGTTTTATAAACCTTAAGACTGGCTTGGCTAATACATGTCTTAGGGAACCATACTACCCCATCATGTATATTGGAACATGCAAGGGCGTAACAGAGCAAAGAGGTTAAAAGGGAAGAGATCCCCATTCTCACTCGTCACCAGGGGGCCCTTCCTAAAAGCAAGTAAAAGAGAAATGTACAACTTCAACCATCAGGATAAGGCTTAACATGGTAACAGAGAAATGAAAAGAGGAAATGGGGTGAATCTTAAACAAGAATTACGAGGCATCAGAGATTAATGGGATGCTGTTATCAAACAAACAATCCAAATAAGAGAATAGCTATGGGTCTGGGGAATTCTGCTAAATATTTAACTATGGTAAACATATATGCAGTATTTCAAACTGCAGTTCTGATGGTATTTGATAACTGAAGTTATGTGTACGTGTAGCACAGTTTTAGATAGAATGCTGCCGTTGGACCATTATGCACACACATCTTACTGCAAATTTTCCAAGCAGTAAGCCATTAACCTTGACTTTGGACTCTGTTTCTGCCTTTTTCCTCTGGTGTATTCATTCTGCAGCTACAGTTTTAAAAAATCACTTTTTTCTATATCGGAGTGGAATGTCACTTGTGACGTGTGGGGGTGGCATCCAAAGGTTTTTTTATATGTTATTGCCCTATTGCAGCTGTGCAGTAGTGTCCAACAAGCACCTTCCATTTAAATCACTGTGGTTCAGGTTTTGCGCATACACTTTAGCGTTACTTCGTTGAATGAAAGGGAACAGAAAGAAACAGGCAAAGGGAAAACCAGTGTTGAAATTGACAAGACTTTTTTTTGGAAACTGACAAGCAGCTGCGAAGCACTAGGGGATTCTCTGCTGTGTTATCAGCCACTGTGAAAAATGAGAGTCACACAATCACCTAATATGGGGGAACATTATGAGTGTACAGAATGCACAGTAGAACTCACTGGCACTGCAAACTGTGAGAGGGCAGCTGGGCTCATCTGGGAACAGCCGCACATCTGGAAGGATGTGGGCATCTAAGCCCCCACACACCTACTCCCAACACCGTCACCCTTTTCTCCCCCACAGATAAGTCTGGGAGAGATTTTGGGGGTGGGGGGAGAGCTCTCTGGCCTTCTCCCTGCTTCTGGATGGGTTTGTCATGGGAGGTGGTGGGTCTTCACCCCTCCATTCCCCCTTCCCTCCCACCACTGTGGTCATTCACTTTTCTCAGTTTTAAACAAACAGCAGCAGGCTCTTGCATGTTGCTGTGAGTGGCGAGATGGTTAAGCCAGGAGACATCGCCCCTGTTTCTGCATGCATGGAGGAAGAGCAGCAGCAGTGGGTGGGATGGAGGAGCCGTGGAGGATGCTTCCTTCAGAGCCAGCCGCACCAGCAGGGCGCTGGACCCACTTGAGTTCCTCTGGCGGCCCCAGACTGTCCTCTGCCTCCTGCTGCTGCCTCTGCCGCCAATGTCCTGTGCACAGCCTCATTCTTGAGCTGCCTCCCACGTTGGGCAGGCTCCCCTTCTCCTCGCCACCACTTGGGCTGGCAAGGCAGCAGACAGGACCATCCAACGGAGAGTGTGCTGTGCTACCCTGGGCAGGAGCACCCAATTAAACTTTGTTGCTCTTAAAGGTGCCACTGGACTCAAACTTTGTGTCAATGAAAAGAGTCTCCTCTAAATTACCCATGAACTGCAAACGCAGGACAGCTAGACAATGGCCCCGGTCACACGGGCAGGAAAATGCGGGGGGAAGTGTGGCTGTTTGCCCCGGGGCAAAATAACGCGCAGCTGCGCAATCAGACGTCCCGTAGAGGTCCTGTCAAGGTCCCATGGTTAGGGGGGAGGTGCCGATCACAGGACAATCCTGCGGCGCGCCAAAGAAGCAGCCTCTATAGCAAAAGGCTCCGCAGGTTTAACCCCTTCCAGGGCTGCAGAGGAATGCAAACTGTGTCCTCCGTCCGGTCCCCTCCAGGAGGAGCATCAGCCGGGCCGCCCTCCCACCATGTCCCCCCTGCACCTCCCCCTCTGCCACCCAGTGCAGAGAGTTCCTCTCGAGCAGGCCGAGCCAGGAGTGGGGGGGTACGGAAAAGAGGAGGGGGCTGTGTTGTTTGTTTTTAAACGAAGTGTGCGCACGCGCCGTTGGGTGCTCATGCGCATCCCGTGGAGACTTGGGGGGAAAAAACCTTTTAGCGATGGGACATGGGCGGGCGCCGGATGCCACGACCTACCACCGGAAACGCGATCAGGCGCCCGCCCTTGCCCTGCAGTTTCCGGAAACTAGTACCTCGGAGGTACTAGTTTTTTACCCCGCATCTTTGGCGGGAAGCCTCGGGTTCGTACGCTTCCCAGATGGGGCGCTGTGATCGCGCCCGGAAAATCCGCCTATCTTCCATCTCTGTAGTGTGGCTAATGCTCCGTGTGATCGCAGCCTATGATCGCTTGTAGCAAAAAATGTTTTAATGTAAAGCAATGAGGGAATGGCAGAAGGTACAGAGTGGGCGGAACAATGTGGGTGTGGGAATGGCCTATGCGGGGCTGGGGAAAGGGCAGGGAGGAAAAATCCAAGGGAATCTGTATGCTTTTGGATTACCTTTGGTTTGGAAGCGAAGCAAGGGAAAACCCTTCACAAAAGCACTCTCAGAAGTGAACAGGAATCGAACTGAGTGTTGAAGGGAGGAAAACCAATTCAGAGCGAAAAATAAAACCCGACAGACATGCACGGTTGAAAGCAAGACAAAACACCCGTGCATAATAGGCCCTAGTAACACTCTGGATCCAGAACTCTATATTTTTGAAACAAATTTTAGACACAATATAGTAAATCATCAAATGTATGACTCTCCTGAACCCCAAAATAGTACTTTGGAGATTCTCAAAGGGTATTGCAGTAAAGGATTATTAAGATCATGTGCCTGCCACCTGGAGAACAAATGTGTTTTGTGCAAATCAGCTGAAGCACTGATCTTAACAAAATGACTTCCAAAAAATTGGACTGGATTTTTTAACCAAAATTACTTACTATAAAATGGCAGTAGAAAAGTAGATAAGTTTGTCAGTATTGTGACCATCGCTTTAGGAACATGTCTACAGAGGTAGAAACAACCACATACCTGCCATCCCAGGTCCTGGAAGCTAACATAAAGCTCATGCTTTCTGCAAGCTGTTTTTAAGTCACTGCTGTTGTAATCTGTTAGGAAATGTAAGAAAGAGAGAGAACGCATAAAACTGGTGTCTTTAAACCTCTTAGCACCACAGTGTTGCCGAAGACATTTTGTGGCTCTAAATTTAAGGTCTTGCCAAGTCTTTTTCATGCTGCTCATTTTTGATCAGGTTATCTGACAGGTTGTTCATCTTCACTCTTCTTCCTTCAAGGCTAGATGGTTTTGAATGTAGCGTTGGGGTAGGAAAATGTTGGGTGAAGGCAATACTCTTAGCTGGAATCACCATGAGATGCACGGTAGAAAGCTTATTGTTCTGTCTCCCCTTGGGGAAAGATGGTTCTTCAGTAGCCCTGTGGTTGATGTCAGGGGCTGGTATCCTACCACTCCACTCAACAAAACGGAAACAAATCAGGACTTCACATATATCATACCCACTAGTATGAATCATTCTCAATTTTTCAAAGTTCTGTTTGAATTAAAGAAGAACTGAATATACTATTCTACCTGAGGTTTTAACCAGCACCAGCAGCCCAGTACAAACAGCCCCTTCCTACCGCACACTGACTGTGTTGGGAGGGAGAGCGTGCACAACTGTGTTCGCCCCGCCCCGTCTCCACACAATTGCCTGGTTGCCTGCAGAGGGTGACTGTGCAAAGACAATGGCAGTAGACTCCTGCCCCCTTATGGGTGGGGCCAGCAGCCAATCCTAATGAGTTTCTGCTTTTGGGTGTGGCCTATTATGCTAATGAGTTCCTGCTGGGCGTGGCCAACTCGGGAGCCAGCCGGAACTCCGTCCCTGCCCCGCATATATCATACCCACTAGTATGAATCATTCTCAATTTTTCAAAGTTCTGTTTGAATTAAAGAAGAACTGAACATACTATTCTACCTGAGGTTTTAACCAGCACCAGCAGCCCAGTACAGACAGCCCCTTCCTACCGCACACTGACTGTGTTGGGAGGGAGAGCGTGCACAACTGTGTTCGCCCCGCCCCGTCTCCACACAATTGCCTGGTTGCCTGCAGAGGGTGACTGTGCAAAGACAATGGCAGTAGACTCCTGCCCCCTTATGGGTGGGGCCAGCTCACCTGTGCCTGCTTTCCCTCCACATGGAGCCGTCTGTACCAGCTAATATTAAGGTATTTCCCAACTCCAGGCTGCCATGTTTTTGTTATCATGATATAAAGCCAGTTTGGTGTAGTGGTTAAGTGCGCGGACTCTAATCTGGGAGAATCAGATTTGATTCCCCACTCCTCCACTTGCAGCTGCTGAATGACCTTGGGCAAGCCATAGTTCTGGCACAGCTGTTCTTGAAAAAGAGCAGTTTCTGTCAGAGCTCTCTCAGCCCCACCTACCTCACAGGGTGTCTGTTGTGGGGACGGGAAGGGCAAGGAGTTTGTAAGCTGCTCTGAGACTCCAGGTAGTGAAGGGCGAAGTATAAATCCAGTCTCCTCCTCCTCCTCCTCTTCTTCTTCAGTACTAGTAATTTGGAATCCACCAAGATACCATTCTATTGCCTTACACAGTTTGAGTGGATCTTTTAAACAGCTGCATCTGTGAGTCAGGATGCTACCAACTAGTCTTCGTATTTCACTAACAGTGTCATTCTAAACAGAATTACACTGACTTCAATGGACTGAAAAAGGTGTAACTCTGCTTAGAATGTCACTGTAACTTACCTTAATACAAGGTGGTTTTTTATTTTTAACATTTCAGTGGTTTTTTAAAGGAGAGAATAATCTTATATTTGGATACAAATCTATACACATCCTCTGTGCCTGCCAGAGAGGCAAGAGGTCCTGCAAGCTCCATTTCACAGGCTCAAAGTGCTACCAGTGCACACTTTTCCTTAATGCTTTCTGGCTAAGTCAGAAAGTGCAAAGGGAGAGGAAGTCCAGTCAGCTACCGAGGAGGCTGGAAGCAACTTGTGCGAATGCACTGGGGGGGGAGCACTCTCTTCCTTTGTGCCTTCTGGTTCTGGATCAACTGGACCAGTAGTAGTAGTGGTAGAAGTAGTAGTAGTAAGTAGTAGAAGGGGGGGGGGAGAGGAGGTTGGATTTATACCCCACCCTTCACTTGGAGTCTCAGAGCGGCTTACAATCTCCTTCCCTTCCCCTCCCCACAACAGACACCCTGTGAGGTAGGTGGGGCTGAGAGAGCTCTGAGAGAACTGCCCTTGAGAGAACAGATCTGAGAGAACTGTGGTTTGCCCAAGGTCACACCAGCAGCTGCATGTGGAGGAGTGGGGAATCAGACCCGGTTCTCCCAGGTTAGAGACTATGCTCCTAAGCACTACACCAAACTGGCTCTGAGGTGCTAAGGCAATCCCAGGGGCCATGGTTGCTGTGACAATGGAGCCCATCTTGGGGTAGGGGAACTGGGAAGATAGAGGTTGAACGGAGGAGGACACGGCTGGCTGGCTCGCCTCTTTTTTGGGGGGAGGGGGGTGTCTTAAATTCAGTGTCATCTGTTTTTATGTATAGCCTTCTCTCTCTCTTTTTAGGGAAGTTGTCTTATCAAGGTCATCTTCCTTTCTAGTAAATATGGTACTGGAGATGCCACATACAGGGCTTAAGAGGATGAGGCAAATTTTTAGGTGCAGCTGTTTGGACAGGAAAATATTACTTCCAGAAGTCTCTATGGAACTTTTAATGATTCTGGCTTGAAAATGAAATGCAGATATTTATTTTAATGAAAAAGTCTAATGCTACAAGCCCATCCAAGGGACTGTAGGTTTATAACTGAGTACAGTTATCAATAAGGTTCTCCAGCCTTCTACCTCAAAACTACAAGAAATTAAGCTGTTTGGGGTTTAGCTTTTTAAATGTTAAAGATTGTATTTCAGCCCTTCAAATAGGTTTCCTACAATCAAAAAATGTAACTAAGTTGTTAACTAGCCTGTGTAAATATGCACTCCCACCCACCAGTAATTTTGTATTTATAAAATGGGGTGAGTTTTCTAAATAAGCTTTCTACTTTGAACTTGAGGCCACTATATTTGACCACATAGACATAAAGGATTGTTTGGGGGGAGCAGGTTTCAGTTCAAACTAATAACAGAAATACATGATTAGGGGAATTCACATGGTGCAGATCAGATTGTAGATGGAAAATCCCACCACACTCCTTCATGTAAAGTTTAAAAATTGGCTCTAAGCTTAATAAAACCAGCATATCACCCGAAAGACTAGGTTGAATCTGTCTCATATTAGTTATAACAGAATGAGAACCAAAAGTCAGAAAATTAGTAAAAACTTCAACTTAACTTTTGATTAAATTTCAAATCTGCCTATTAAAGATTAATAAATTATAGATCTGTAATTTATTTTTTTAATGTCAATAAAACTTTGCAGAACCCCTTGTGTTCCTATGTTATGATTATTTGACGCAGCAAAAGAACAAAATGTAAGTTTGTGAGAGGTCCTGGACTTCTTTTTATTTAAGTCTCAGTGGTAGTGAATGGTCAAGTTTAGATCTCTGTGTGTGTGTGTGTGTATTCCAAATCATATGGATACAAACAGAAGTGATGGCCCCTGCACAACTAAAAAGCTGTACAGTGGACACTTCTCCAAACTGAAGGCCTGAGACAGATTTAGAGGAATTTCAGACAGACGATATAATCCGGAAGATGAATGGTTCCCAAACGGTTTCTGGTCTGTTATTTCAGACAGAACCGTTTTAGAACCGGTTCCCTACCGGAATATATTTGTAATTTCACACACAAACGCTTCTGTCCCGTTTAGGAAATGGGGCTGAAGCGTTTTACCTGTCAACCGCTTCCAAGTAGTCTTCCGTTTCCTCTCCCGGTTCCGATGCACTTTTTCCCGTCATTTTTTGCCCGCGCGGGCGATCTCCGGCTTTTTTTAAATGTTCGCTTTATAGCACTATAATGCTATAATGAAACAGCATTATATCAACCGCATTGGAATGCCTGGAGTGTTGTGTTATAGCACCATAGCACTATAGCACTCTAAAGCAAACGTTAAAAAAAAAGCCAGAGATCACCCACGCGGGCGAAAAATGGCTGGGGAAAAGCGATGCAGTCTGAAATGGCAAACGGCTTCAGATCCAGCTCTTTACCGGAAGGGGAAAGCCATGTGTGAAATGGCAGCCCTATACTGGTTTACTCCATGACGGATCAAAACCGGCTTCAAAACGAGTTAAAAAGGGTAATGTGAAATTCCTCTTAGTCTAAAGTGGAAACTGGCATTTTGGTTGTTTAAAGCCTTGGCATGCACCCAAGGAACAACACACCATTTTGTTTGGCCCACTGGGCTAGATCTCTGCCCAAGCAACCCTAGTAAGCTCCTGAGGTGCTGGAATGCCACTGGGGTTCAGCTTGCTCCCAGTTTGTCTGGCTGAATACAACTCTCCTCTCTCCCCGGCCCTTTTATTTGCTGGCACACCAACATCTTCACAAGCAGATGTTGTAGATTTGGGGCAGCTGAGCCAAGAATGTTGCCTACCCCTGGGTTAGACTCAAATAAGATTGATTCCAATGATCTTTCTCCTATGTTCTCAAAAACTTCTCTGACCCTTATCTTTGGCTAAGCAGATGTACAGTATTTACTGACGCTATCTCCCCTTGCCCCTTGGCTGCTGTTAAGAGGTTCACCAGGTTCCATAAGGAAATTAATACGCATAGTCCATCAAAACTATTTCGAAAGGGGTCTCTGGCAAAGCATCTCCTCCCATACACTATATTTAAATTAGGAGACAGATCTAGATAAAGACAAGTGGCAGACCCATGAGACGCGCAAGGGGAATCCCATCGCCGAGCCCAGAGCAGCTCCAGGCCCTACCACCGCCTTTGAGCCTGGCCCTAGCAGCGGCAGTGTCTGGGACCCACTCCAGGCCCAGGGTGGCTCCCAGCATCCACTGCAGCTGGAGCTGGCGTGGCTACTGGTGTTCACTGCAGCCAGGACTGTAGCAGGTCTGGGAGTCTGCCGCTGCAGCAGCTGGGCCCAGAGTGGTTCTTGGCTTCACCCACTGCCAGATCTGCAGGAAAAAAAGGTAAGAGAGTTGTC